CCCCCCCCCCCCCCCCCCAAATTGAAATATATTCAGGTTCATAATTCAGAGTCAGATATTGATGGCTTATGTGTTGGCCCATACTTTGCTACGATGGCAGTAAGTCTTTTCATTTGCCAGTTCATCTGCATAGTATATCATGTTGTGCAAGTAGTATTTCTTGAGTTGTTACATTGTGACTCATGCAGGAGGATTTTTTCATTGTTTTGCGCAATATGCTGGCAAGCAGGCCGGAAGTGTCAGATATTCACTGCGTGAAGGATGCAAAAGTACCGTTAATGCGTTTTAAGTTTGATGGGATCTCAGTTGATCTTCCATATGCTCAACTTAATGTAATATCTGTTCCTGATGTGAGTATGAGGGCTATCTTTTGAGTATACAGACTAGTTTTTTCAGAATTTATTTTGAAAGTTTTTGTGGTACAAGGTTATCTTTGTTTGCAGTTATGAACAATTTGTTGTGTCATATCTTGTATTTATTTCTTGTCTTTAATATTCTTTCACAGTTGCTATAGCTTTACTCTGTCTTTATTTTTTTTTAACCAGTGGAGTTTTTGACTTGCAAATGTATATGTGTAGAACGTGGACATACTCAACCCATTCTTTCTGAGCAATATTGATGAAACCAGTTGGAAAAGTTTGTCAGGAGTACGTGCCAATAGAAGCATTCTTCAGCTTGTGCCGAACCTGGAGGTTAGTATCAAGTTACTTTCTCCGGATGTAGGCCTATTCTTCTTTTAGTTTGTGAATTTGATATGGAGAACCGCATTGTCATCTTTATATCTAGGCTTGCGTGTACCTGCATGTGGATTTAATCTTTGTTGACGGGCTTATGAAGAGTGCTTATTTAACTTGCTCCTAATGGGTTGTATCCTAATTATTTGCAGTGAACATCTATTGGGTTTGGTGAAATGGGAGTGTTGAAAAAATTTGTCTATGTAGTGACTGTCCCTAATATTTTCTCTCTCCATAGAATTTAATGTTATTGCAAGGTGCTGTTGTAAGAATAAATCTCTCCTGGTTTTGATTTCTGTTGTATTGCACAAAGTTGTGGTCTTTAATTTAATTAATTTGCTGGATACTGAGTGATGCACATGGTTAAGTTGACACTTATGGTGTTAATATCTCTGCAACACAGATTTTTGTTCCTCCTATTACAGTGCCAAGTATGCTTTCTCTCTTTCTTCTAAATATGCAGTGACGTAGATGAGGGTAATGTATTGCTAGCAAGGGGAAAAAAAGAAAAGAAAAGAAAAGTAGATGGGGGTGTCATGGCTTTCTTTTTGAAAGTGCAGTCACCAGTAGTATTTTCGATAAATGCCGCATCATCTGAATTCTGAAAAGTAGCATATTATCAGTTCATACATCTGCATATCTTTTTTTTTTTTTTTTTGATGAAAATTATTGTCTACCTTGAGTTTGAACGCTTATAGATATCTTATTTTATTGGATTGTTTATGCCAGATATTCCAATCAATGCTGAGATGTGTTAAATTATGGGCCAAAAGGCGAGGAGTGTATGGTAATGTAAGGTTTTTGTGCTTGTTGCGGAGTTACTTTGTGCTTTGCTTCTGTTTGTTTTATTTTCGGAGTTGAGATCATTTTGATTGGCTAAGTGAACTCTGCCAATTTTCTTCTTCTTTGCAGTTACTTGGGTTTCTGGGAGGTGTTCATTTAGCCATCCTTGCAGCATTCGTTTGTCAAAGGCATCCAAATGCCAGCTTGGGTGCTCTTATTTCAATCTTCTTTAAGACGTTTGCCTTTTGGCATTGGCCAACACCTGTAGTTCTTCAGGATGGAATAACACAAGCAGTTCTTCCCGCTGAAATGCGGTACTTGATGCCTATTCAATTGCCATGTAGCCCATATGAGTATTGCCATTCCAATATCACTCAAAGTACATTCTCCAGAATCAGAAGAGAATTTCTCAGAGGAAATGCTTTGACTATGGTGTGTATTGTTGTTTGACTGAACTTCATGGTTGTATGGAACCTAATTTTAAATCATTTGTTTTAATGGTCATGTTTATGGGGATTGGAAACTCTGTAATTTGTTGCTACACTTCCAGACATAAAAGTTGTTTTTATATTGTTCTTGTACCTTCAAGTATAACATATATACTTTTTACGTACTTGCATATTTTGACCTTTCTTACTTTTTTTACTGCAGGATCTTCTGAGGCCAGATTTTGATTGGAACACACTATTTGTGCCTTTTCCATATTCAAAAAAGTACACACAATTTGTCAAAATATGCCTTTTGGCTTCCAATCAAGGCGAATTAGCCGACTGGGTGGGCTGGGTCAAGTCACGTTTCCGCTGTCTTCTTGTCAAGGTTAGTAGCACATACTTCTTTATTTTATGATCATCACGCTATTGGTAGTGTAGCTATTGTCATTACTTCGACTACTTTTAGACGTACTGGCATTTGTGTTTCTGGTGTGATGAATCTTTGTTGCAGTCTTGTTTTACATATTGTTTCATGCCCCTAACTGGTTCATGATATGCTAAGATTGATAATATTGCTGGCTAGATTAGCATTGTTGTCATATGTGCCTAAGGAAAGAGGGATGCCTTGAAGCATTATAATTTATAATTGTCTTTCTTTATGATCCTAATTGCGTGTGATCAGGATAAGTTACATGTATTCAGGATTCCATGTTTGAAATTGAAACCCCCTAATTTCTTCTTTATGACAATTGGTACCATTAAATTTTCCTAATGCTTTCTGTTTAACCAGATCTTGATAGGGAATTAATTCAAATAGGAAACACTTGCTGCTGTTTGGTACTGTTTTTTGTAAAAACCATGTTTGGCAATATTTTTCCTTTTTGTTGCTTGGTTTAAGAGACAAATGTTTAAAAAAGACAAGAACAAATTTTCTTTTCTGTTTTCTTAAGCAAAAACACACGAAAAATGTTGATATCAAAGACAGGAAAAACACACATAAATTGATAAATATACTTACACACAAAATACACACATTGATTAATATACATGTGCACATACATGCACATACTAATGGAAGATACACACATTAAAGCTAGACACTAATAAAATACACAAACTTAAATGCACAAAGACAAACATACGTGCACACTCAAACACTCGATAACAAAACACATGCACATATAAAGTATAAACAAACAAACTGACACAAAGAAAAACACATACCTTCAAAAATCCACACACTAATAAAATACATGCATCCTCATGAACATACACAGACATTCAAACACAGGTGCACTAAAAATTATATATTGATAATAGTTGTAACAGATAAAACATCCACACCCTCTTTTAAAAATACTAGATATCATCCGTGCCTCAAGGTACCATCAAATATAAAAAAAATTACAATTGTCGAAGTGATATTAAAACAAGGGTTAATTATAAAATGCCCCCTCCAACTTTGGATGATGTTGCAATTAGAGACTTTAGGTTTCAATTTCAACTTTGGATGATGGTGTAATTAATGCACATAATAAGAGACTAAAGATTCCAACTTTAGTTTCTTCTTCATTCCTTCAACTTCTCAGCAACCAAACTCTATACAAAACAAAGTAAATGGCAACTTAAATCAAACAAATGAAAAATTGGTTTCTAAGGACGAAACATGTCATGAAACTAATATTTAGTTAGGAATTCATTAAGCAACTCTCATCACTTCTTTCTCATTCTCCCTCTCCATTTATCTTTTCTCATCTTTCTCCACTTGCCTTTCCAAGAATACTCTCAACAACTCCACCAATAAATCACTCTTTTCAACTTCATCTTCTTCCAACACAACAATTTACAACAAAATAATTCACTATTAACAATTCCCAATATTTGTTGTCCTTACCATTCAATTTATGCAGCAAAAAACTACCCCAATCTAACAGTTACCATTAAACCATGACAGCATATTTAAAACTAAGAATGTGAACCTTAGAATTAGGCATCTTTATAAAAACCTTCCATTGTCTTTGTGTGATTTCAATCTGCATAAAGAAAATGTACTCAAATGTCAGACCCAAACCAAGAATTATCAATTGAATCTGAAGAAATCGTAACTCTATTGTGCTATGTTGTTACTGGTTTGGTAGAACCAAGCTTTGTCATCAACAAATTCAATAAATAGGATGAAAAAAATCATATTTGAATATGAATCCCTAAATATTTAGATCAAATCTCAGCCAATTGACTTGAGTAAAACGACATCAAACCCAACCTCTTGCGAAGAGAATAAAAACTATAAATTTGAGGAATTCAACACTTGAAGAATAAAAAGAAAAAGTGCGGTGAAGATCACTTAACTGCACGCAAGCAGAACCAGTAATGACTTTCATTCAAACAATACCACATACGTGACGTGTTGGTGCTTTGTCAAATCACAATATTGAATCTCAACAAAAATTTGTATGGAGCCACATCAAATAAAATTCCCAACAATTGGCAACAAAATTACAAACTTCCCAACAAAAATAAATGTCTACGGAAATGAAATTGAGTGTGAGGAAGCCACCAAACATTGTGGCTGTGCGTGATGGTGTTTTTTTTTTTTTTGGGGGGGGGGGGGGGGGGTGTTGTGGGT